AAGCGACAACACACCGTGTGATTAGTGGGAAGTCAAAATGATTCAAGTTACTTGCTAGTAAAAATTAGAAACAGGAAAAACGCTTTAACTCATTTTGACTTATTAATTAGAGATAGGGTGACTGGTTTATGTCTCGGTTATTAATATGATGGTATGGTTCAAGTACATGATTTAATAAAAAATGCGAAATTCATGTCGTTTAATACACTGTCACTTTGGAAACAACACGAAAATAGAATTGTTTGAAACGCCAAAAAAGTGCTCCGATTTTAATGAAACCGGCATCAATCGACGGAGAAAAATTCGCTGATTCCGAATATATATATAACTCAATATCGCCCAAAATGTCGCTTAAACCAAATAGCCCGTTACCCCTCGATATTATTCTAACGAAGTTATAAACTTCCTAGTCAATTGAAATGAGATCAAGTGTCGACTAAGTTCAGTGGAATAGACCGCGTCTTATAGCGTGATTAACGACCACATCCATCGGCGACGTTGAACTGACGATGTTATAATACTTGTGTGGTTACAATTATAATCATCATCAGTCCATGATAGTCGACTACTGAACTACGGACTTTCTCTACAAGAGAATGGCTTTGCCACTCCAAACTTGGCAAACGGATAAGAGATCTCAGTTTAAATTGATCAAGTTTATCAGGAAATGGTCTGTGAAAATATATATATTTACATATTAAGGTTTTGACTGCCAATAGAAAACTGTTGAAGGCAAATCCTCCGTCAACGTCAGTCACCGGTGACCCCCATGGCGCTTAATGTGTTAGATGTTAAAAGAAATCACAATAATGTTAAATTTTTGTATCTACTATAATTGTAACTCTGCATCACCCTAATGTTGACTGTTAGAGAATACCACCAAGCATCATGTATATTGTACAAAAAGTGTAATTAAATAAAATTAAATAAAAAAACACATATAATAAATATGTAATCCCGAAGTTGGGTCTTACAAAACCCGTGGGAAGAGAAGGGTTGTCAAAAGTATTCTACCTAGACGGCTAGACTACTTCGAGATCTTATGGCGTGATTAACGATCACATCAAGTCAGCGACGTTGAACTGGCGCCATTATATTACTTGTGTAGTTGCCATTAACTGCAAGCTCAATGAGAGACGATTTTCTCATAGTAATTAATGTAGTCAACCAAATGCAGTATTCTAAGAGCTCTTTTATATATGTAAGTACTCCTTGGTTTCGTGTTTGAAGATCTTAAATAAATGGACTTAAGAAAAGTATGTGTTTATTGATAGGCAGGATATATTTGTAGTTTTCTAAAGATATCTGAGCACTACCTCTTTGGCAAAGTGTTCGCAAGTGCGCCTGCCGGGCAAGAATTACTTGGTTTCTAAAAAAAATCTCAATAGTTACTACTACTGAGATTTTTTTCGACTCCATTCTTGGAGCCTGGAAGTGTGCCTAATATATGGCCATAGGTTCACCCCCTCTTACATGAGACTCATAATATAAATAGTTAAAAGTGGGTGGTACATGGAATTAAGTTCCGTACATAATGTGCACCTCTGCCTACCCCGTCGGGGATAAAACGCGTGATGTTATGTTATGTTATATCTGAAGATATTTATAGGTATATTGATTCACATATCCAGTAAATAAAGTGCGCGTTTTCTTAACATGCACTCTAAAAACAATTAACGATCATTTAAGAGAAATTCAAATAGGTCCCGTACAATATAGAGGTATAACCTCTAATTGAGCATTTTGAATACACGCAAGTCAATGAAACAATACTACTAGTAACATAACATAACATAACATCAAGCCTTTAACCCCGAAGGATAGGCAGAGGTGCACATTATGCCACTGTACAATGTAACACCCACTTTTCACTATTGATGTTATGAGTCCCATGTAATAGGGGGTGAGCCTATTGTCATATACCGGGCACATTTCCAGACTCCATGCTACTATTACTACTACATAACATTTATCTAATTAATCCTTAATGTTAATTTCTTCTTCGTAACAAATGCTTGTCTTTAGTTAACGTTGAGAGCAGACCGTGAAACTAATAGTAGTTAGTGTTGCAGCTAAGTTAATATAGCTTAACACCGCCCGACTGTCAACACGGGCGGAGATGGGACGCAAACCTAGTTTACATTTACAATGTATTCAATTATGATGATAGATAGTGGGGTTGTATAAAGAAAATATGGTGGTTAGGAGAACGAAATAAAATACTTATGTTTAAGTACCTCTAGTTAAATGACTACCTTATTCAGTTTGAAATATGTACCTAATAACTAAGCGATGTTTTATTCTACGGACGCAATGCATACTTAAATGAAAATTAAAAGCTACCAGAATTGCTATCATAACATCACGCTTTTTATCTTCGAAGGGATAGACAGAGGTGCACATGCAAGTGCACACCTAATGCCACTGCACAATGTAGCACCCACTTTTCACTATTTATAAGTTCAATGTAATAGGAGGTGAGGCTATTGCCAGACTGCGGGCTACTACTGAGAAATTTTTAAATAAAACCCAGTAATACTTTGCCCGACCCGGGAATTGAACCTGAGACCCCTTGCCCAGCAGTCGCACTTACGAACACTTGGCCAACGAGGCAGTACAAAGACAATTACTATCATTAACAATAAAGGACTCAAGACAGCAAACACAAAGAACAATTTCAAAACAATCCTAGTTACTTACACTACCGTCTAAATAACAAAACTACAAATAAAAAACAAAAACATCCAAAGAGGATTCTATAATAATTAAAATGCCTATAACCTAAATATCAATTTTATAACGACAGCCATGGTCACTGGCTGGTAATAAAAAAATAAAAAACCCGCCCACAAAATACAGCGAAGCAAGAAGAATGCAAGCAATTTTTAATGTAAAACGAACGAGGCATCGCGGCCCGCGCCACGGTAATAATGTAGCTTACGACAAATATTCAACGGAATCGCTGTACACTCTATACACAGTATCTACTCACACATTTTCAACGTTTTCTTTTGATAAACGAGGGTTTATTATCCGTTTTATAGTAGATATATCAAAAGATTATATTATATCAAAAGACTGGCTCGTTGGCCGAGTGGTCGCAAGTGCGACTGCCGGGCAAGGGGTCTCGGGTTTTCCCGGGTCGGGCAAAGTATTACCGGGAATTTTTTTTAAAAAAAATCTCAGTAGTAGCACGGAGTCTGGAAATGTTCCCGGTATATGGCGATAGGCTCACCCCCTATTACATGGGACTCATAACATAAATAGTGAAAAGTGGGTGTTACATTTGTACAGTGGCATAATGTGCTCCTCTGCCTACCCCTTCGGGGATAAAAGGCGTGATGTTATGTTATGTTATTGTATTATACATTTAGTTACAAAGTGTGTTCAAATATTTTTGATACGTATTTTAGATAACAATCAGTCATTTCTACATCATAATCACTGCACGATCTTTATTTTACCATCATATTCTTGCATAAGAATAGTACTCACCTTCTATTCTAAAATAAACATAAAATGTATGTAATATTTCAGCCTAGTTTCATTGCAAAATGCCAATGAAATTACAAACTCGTTCATAAAACATGTATAAAAAATACTTTACAAGTAAATTTTATTCATGTTTATTAAACGGAAATTTCATCTACTTTCCGTATGACTGAAATGTTCAAATATTTTTAAAATTCAGCTATAAATGCATTACAAATACAATGAACTCCAGTGCACAGTATGGACAGCTGGATCAAAAACACGAGCGCGCATCGTATCTATCTATTATTCAATACGTTGACTGTGTTTAGATTCGCACTCCGATTGTTTACGTCAGGTTCACAAAATCCTATAGAATAACTTATTTTTTATTCAATACTTCTTCCATACCATAGATAATGCCCTAGGTTGAAACCCACGTTTAATATTCTAAAGTAAACCCTAAGGAATATGGATGCTTCCTTGTTCGCTTAAAATAACGATTTAATCACTTTGCAAAGGGTTTAGAGTTAGAAATATTGTCGCTTTAATCATTTGAGACTCGTCACTGACGATGACTCAACTGATGAATGCTATAAATAATACCATTTACAAAATAAAATGGCAACTGAAATAATTGCCAATACAAAATGATAATGCTTACAAAAACATAACAGTCTGTTCCGTTTACAAATCGCGAACTACGATAACAACATGGCGATTTCGATTCATATCTCGCTGAATAGGGAATTCACCCGTAACCCGTAATACACTACAAATGAATAGCCAATGTTCATAACAAGGGCCAACATTTTGATTGGCAAACAACAATATGTCCCTCAAACCATGATTCGGTCGCGACATACCACTATTAATGTATTAACAATCGCAAAGCGGCAGTTTATCCTTGTAATTACTATTGTTTTGTGAAACACATTAAGCTTTCCGACTGACAAATTGAACACGAACGAATAATGTTAACACTTGCCCCAAAATCAACATTTGCTTGTTGACATTGCAACATGGGATGGGATGAAATTGAATATTATTTTAACCGAATACTGTACTGGTAGCACATACTGCAAAGTAGATACATTATGTGAGCATATAGTGTATTGTTCCGCACACGACATGCCGAAACAATATTTCAATTCGATATCGGGCGGACAATGGTCGGAAGTGGCCGAATATAAATGGACGGAAAGGCTTGTGCCTATCGAATAAAGGGTCGATGAAACAAATGACTGTATCAACTGGCCAAAGACTTTGGCACTGTGTAAACACAATTAGTAGTTAATTATTGTGCAACAGGACGCTTCTATAAGTACTTTACTGTCGTTGGACATTTTTAAATTTATTTTATTAGGTGTTTTTCTTTTCATTATGTGTTTTTGTTATCGTGGGGTAAGGTTTTAACGCCTGTGGAGATTTTAAAGTTAGAAATATTCTTCTATATTCATGAATGTCATAAGAAACTTTTACCCAGTCATTTTTTGTAATCGAAATACTAATTTCAACCTTTTTCCCAGGTGAAATGATAATATCAAACGACAAATACCAGATGACGGAGATCAACAGCTCTGCATACAGCGTGCAGATGCGTCTCGTTATCAGGAACATCCAGAGAAGTGACCTCGGAGGATACAAGTGCATATCTAAGAACTCTATAGGCGACGCCGAGGGCAACATTAGGTTATATGGTAAGTCTTCCACAAAGGAGGCACCATGCTGTCTTTGTATTGTCAATGGAACTTTGTACAGCAAGAAGCGATCGCAAACTATAGAGTATAGACTACGTCTCGTGTTCTAGAATCGTGTTTCAAAGATAGTTGGACTATTGTGTATAGAATATTAGTCTACAGTCCAGTTAAACTGTCAGTTATGTTAACTTTTGGTGCAATATCTTAGCCATTGTGCAACATTGTATAATACCACACGGTCCAATTTGTCATTTAGTTTTCGAATCTTCTATTTATTTATTTTTATGGCATAAGCCGTTAAACGAGCAGACGGATCATATGATGGTAAGCTATCGGCGTCGCCCATGGACACCTGGAATACCAGAGGCGTTACAAGTGCTTTACCGGCCTTTTGGAGATTAGGAGTTTGAGGATCGTTAGGGAATCAAGCATTGGGGAGATTGGGGAAGGGTAGAGTAGTTGGGCCTCCGGTAACCTTACATGACGAAACACAACGCAAGCGTTGCTTCACACCGGCCCATTCGTGGCGAAGTATGGCTCTCCCATACTTAATTTTTAATTAACACCACATAGAAGACGATTTTTAAACTGATGATAATTTCCTTTCTTCCATGCGTAATACAGAAATGGAGTTACCAAATCGCAAATCGCGAGACGACGATGATCGCGACTACTCCATCGAAGAAACGAACGATGTTCGTTCCAGTCTCCAGGGTCCACTTCGGGAAGGTGGACCAAGAGATGAAGATACCAGCTTCTTAGGCGGAGGCGGACCGGCCGCCGCTGCCGCGCCCGCCCTCACCGTGAGCGCTCCCTTTTTAATAACGACCTTAGTCCTCGCCACATGCTAAACTTTTACTTAAAGCCATGTGCAAAGTTAAGACTCTGGCAAAGTTACTCATTGTATTTTTATAACAGTCTCGACTTACGTACGTATAGGGTAAAGGTGCATTACTTTAAGATACGTATTAATTCATCTTTTATTTGAGAGATTCATAATACTGGAGAACTTAGCACTCGGATCCATTTCAAACGTAGTGTTAGTTCATAGTGTCGTTTTATTTTGAAACTCAAATAATCGTTTTTCAAAGACTCTGAAATTGTATACGAACTTATAATACCGCCCAGAAGTCATATTTTATTGAGATTTATACTACTTAATCATCAATTTGCTGTCTCGTGTAACATTAATCAGTGTAATTTGTCACGTTTCGTATATCACATACTGAATTGAATTATTTCTTTCGTGTGGGCTTGTCTTAAAATTGTGCATGGCTCAGCAGTGTTCGGCTAATAGGAGTGTGTCTTACTAATTGGACGTAAGACTGTGTATCATTTAGATTAAAGACTATAGTACTAAGTACGGTACTTAGTGAGGTACTAAATGCGAAGTGTAGTGCTAATAATAGCACTTTTTATAGGAAATGGTGAATGAACTATAAGTAACTAGCATTTCATCAAATGTCAGCTTGTAACAGTGTAAATGCTTATCGATATGTACGAAGAAATTAATTTTTTACTGACAAATATTCCTTGAATATTACAGATTGATTACAAATTGCAGTACAATAGAAATAGCTACATATATCCCAAACAATCTATGTACATCTGAAACAATAACACGTGGATCTTTCGATTGATGCCGAAGCTGTTTCATTGAATTTCTAATTTTTGAGTTATCTGTTTAAAAATATTTAAGAGCAACAAGAGCTCACAGAAAAAAATAAATATTTAACATTACAAGCTAATGTTGGTATCTTGCTTATCCATCGTGGTATAATGTATTGTTAAATTGATAAAAACCTTATTTTAATTAAACATTGACTGTCACTGAATATGTTCTTATATGTCCTCTATAACTGTTGTACAATACTTTTCACTAAAATACGAATTTCATTTGTGTTGCGATTGAGTATGTAACCAATCAGTGTCATAATAATTGTATATGTATAATCATAAACTGTTAATGTATATGTACATAATATAATGTAGCTACGCGGTTATAAACGTTAGTATATTGTTTGCTCATTTATTATTTGTTATTATTATAATATATAGATGTACGTATTATGAAAGAAATGTATGTAAATCAGAAACGCTATGAAGTATAGGAGAAAATTTTGTAAATTGTTAAACGTTTTTAATATTGTTGAATTTATGAGAAGAATAAAATTAATTTGTAAACTGTATCTAAGGTAATGAATGGAAGTTTCGTAGTCATGTTTTACGCGGATGTCTTGTGTTTTTTGTTTTTTTTTATTTTTGAACTGGTTAAGAATTGTGTATCTATCCTACAGCCAGTGTTTATTTACTTATTGGCCTTATGTAAATGTATGATATTGCCTGCGAAACAAATATAAACGAAGTAAAACTTTTGATGTTGTTTCTTTGTGTTTAAAAGGTTAATGAGACACACATGTATGTTAAGGTCGATGTCCTTTTTCCTCAATTTAACAATAATAACATAATAACACGACTCGCCATTTTGTAAAGTAAACAGGGTGATGTTACTTGTACGGTACCAATTGGGGTTCAGGGTAATCCATTGTCCATATTGTTCGACTCAAACACGAGAGTAACTTGGAGTAAACATTAAGAATATGTGTTCGCAACGAAACTAAACTCACCAGGCACTAATTCTCAGTACCAAAACGTGTTCTATACATCAAAATGAAAACCACTGACGTAATCAAAGGTGGAAGCAGTAATTACACACTATATATTATATATATATAACTAGAACAGTTCCCGATTTCTTAGAGCATTCGTACTGAGACCATCCCTAAAGCTTAATATTAACACTTAGTCAAAATGTACAGCGAAGGTCTGACAATATCACGTATGTCGACCCTCTTAATAGGTACCTTTGGGCGAAGGCTCTGTAAGTGGGATGTAGATAGGGTGTAACCACTTGCATTAGCGAAATTACCTGAGGCTTTGTTATTTTCATTGCGACAACCCTAGGCACCTTATGTGAAGGTGTAATAGAAACTTATCTACTAGGAATTGTCTTGGGTTATATGCTTATATTATTATGGTGAGTTTTCTAGGGTTGTTTTCCGCCTTGAGTTTAATATAAAGGTAAAATGGTGCTCAGATGAGTATTTTTATGAAATTAGTACAGCGCAGTTTTAATTAGTCGGTACCTTACCCTAGTCCACTGTAAGCTAATATGGTTAGATAGATTCATGAGTAGTTCTCTATTACGAGAACACAGTTTTAATAAATACTCGACGGGGAAGTCATTAAATTATTACCCAATATTTTGTTCATGTCAAAGTTTACAAAATCAACATTATTGTTATTCACTGCGCAGAATTTTAGACTACACGATGTTACTGAGAATTTAAAAAAAGGCAAAATATATAATTATTTATTATAGTTTTCGACATACTCACGTAATTATTTGACGAGGAACTCAACTAGTTTCTAGTTCTAGTAGAGGCTCATACTTATTATACAGTCGCCGCGTCGCGGGTCGCGGAATACTGCTCATGAATATGAACCTCTAGCATGGCTTGGAACTAGTCGAGTTCCTCGTCAAATAATTACGTGAGTAAGCCGAGAAACATATTAATTAATTTAGTATGTCCTACGCAAGTTATAACTTAAATATCTAAAGTTACCTCAGCAATCGAACTTTGAACTCAAAAAAGTCTATCACAAACAACTCGAAAAAGAAAATATATCCGTAACATCTATCTCATAAGTCCATTATTTAAAGAGCACATCACCACATGAAAGTCACCGACGTATTTTATTAATGGCCACCCTCACTGAGGTTTCCTTTGAAGTCTTTGTCCAGTCCAAACCAGGGTTTAGACACACGGGGTGATATTCAGTGATCCTTGTTCTCCTAACACAATATTGGTACCGTACATTTCGGAACTCCCTAGTGTATCACGATTTGAATGTCGCAGTTTGCATCTTAAGTGCTAGGGACGTGTGCGCACTGTAATAGATGGAGCACACTTTTTGTAAAGTGAACCTTAACCCCTTGGGATAACGTAGTTTTACGCGTGTAAATAATGCGTGAGTTACAAAAGGGTATTGTTAGGTCGATTGTATTCCCTTGATAGATTATTTCCGTGATTTTCTTGGTACGAGAGATTTAAATGACTTGCGGTTTTTATAGTCGATGGATTCAATTATTTTATAGAATTTTTCGGGTACTGTCGTATCCGACGAGTGGTCGCAAGTGCGACTGCCGGGCAAAGAGTCTCGAGTTCGATTCCCTTTACCAAATTTACGGACATTACTGAATTTTTAAAGATAATCTCAGTAGTAGCACGGAGTCTGGTATTGTGCCCGGTATATCGCAATAGGCTGACCCCCTATTATATGGGGCTCATAACGTAAATAGTGAAAGTGAGTGTTACATTGTGCAGTGGCATTAAGTGCCGGAATGGGCACCTCTGCCTACCCCTTTGGGGATAAAAGACATGATATTTTATGGTGTAATTTTTATGGGTTATTCCGCTTATTATTATGTTAATAAATTGAAAGTATAGTTTACCTGACAATAAACGGTAAGGTAAGTTGTTAATCCAATCCAGTACACGGCATTACCACTGACAATCTCGAAAATCCACACTCAATTTCTTTTTTTCTAATTAGTTATTAAGAGATGACATAAATCACTAAGATATTTTAAAATAGACTTCCCAAACCACATAAATAGAACCTAATTACCCCTTCAATTTCACATAACATCAACATCAAACATTCTATATAACAAAGTTAAAATTGAAGCTACCTCAGTTACAAGGGTTTTGAGAAAAAACTATTCTCTTTGTTCCAACTCGGTAGTCTCTGTTACTGCGAAAACTTGCCCAGTTTCGCATTCAATGGAATATATAGGTTACCGAGGGGACTTTCACTGCATACGAAATGTTAATGTGCTAGATTCGACATTAAATCGTGTTGTTAAACTTCTTCTATTTACATAGACGTTAAGTTAGTTGGTAAGTACTTTTTTATTATTTTGAAGAACAAACCTGAATGCAGATGGAGATGATTAAAAGAGTGTTACAAATTTAATAGTTGGCTGGAAGCGGTCTCATGATAAATAATAATAATTCTTTATTGACAAAAATTTAACACAGGTGAGTAGAATTCCCTGACCCTTGAACTAGTTTACACTGTATTACAAAAGCCAGTGTCTTCACCCATGAGTTTAACAATGACATACCAATTTTTTTTTTTTTTTAAGGGGGGAAAATCATCGAATGACTGCTCCCGCCTGGGTGAAGCGGTAGGGAGTGTCAGACTCTTACTGACTAAAAACCACCCCGTTCCTTCTCCTGCACGTCGAGCCGGAGCCCCGGTTACCCGTTAGGTTCTCCGCGACTCCGAATCGGCATCGGCCCTATTGGACCCCATCTGTGGTGGTCTGATGGCTCTTTGAGGCGCGCGCGGAACGCGACGCGCCGTGCGCTCGGGTCTGTTTCTGGTCGGACGGGGAGCCACCCATGCTCGACATCCGCAGGCCCGCGCTTACGGTGGCCGGAGATCGTCCCGCGATCCCCGACGCCCGGTGTGTTCTTCGCGATGGCTGGGTTGCGAGGAGGCAGCGCTTCGCTGCCTCACGCGTCCCGCCTCCTCCTTAGCTAGCATGACTGCTTCGCAAAAGGAGGAGACGGCATCCCAATCCCCCTCGCTCCGCATCATGGCCTGCACTAGGCCCGGACGCGAGAGGTCGCCATCGCCGATCACTTCCCTGAGGACACGGCGGTGCTCAGCCCACGCAGGGCATTCCGCGACAGTGTGTTCCACCGTGTCCTCAGGGCGGTCCTCGCAGTGATGACACCCGGACGTTTCCTCCCGCCCCATCAGACACAGGTACCTCCCAAAACTCCCATGTCCGGTGAGGACCTGCGTCAGGCGGTAGGTGAGGACGCCGTAGCGTCTCTCAAGCCACTCCTCAAAGAGGGGACTTACCGCTGCGATGGCAGCGAGCCCAATGACATACCAATAAGAACATAGTAAAAAAATTATAAAAATGTGTGCTTTTGCGTGTGTGCAGGGTGTGTGCGTGTGTGTGTGTGTATAAGTGAGAGAGAAATACAGTGTCGGAAGTCTGTATGTATGCGTAAGTAGTGAGTGTGTGAGGTGTAAGGGAGGGGGGCGCATAGTGGTTTTTTTTTATTATTATTTTTTATTTATGAAGCAGTGATTCTATTGCATCGTGGGCCATTTTTTGAAGCCATGTCATTATTGAGAATTTAAATGAGGATCTTTTATTAGTAAGAAGCGGCATTTTTATGTTCACACTACGTTGCTAACTGTAAGAATGAAATTATACTTAATACAATAAACAACCGTTCAATACTGACCTCTGAGCTGACGCTTTGTAATAAATCCATAGCCTGGCTTTGCATTAACATTAAAAAGGTATGATACTTTTATAAATATCTCATTAGTAAATTATTCATTAAAATACTTTTATACCGTATTAACCCGTCGTGTGCCGGAACGTAGATCTACGCGAGACACAATGCATTTTCTATTGTGTCTTATATACCGGCAGTCAAGCGGTTAAGGAACTACAACGAGATACAACATCAACACAATCTCAAAATACAGCAAATCGCTGCACTAAAGCAAAAATACACACATAACTGCATTGAAAGCGTACAAACAATATACGAACTAAACCACAACACAACAAGTATAGAATTTGCATATCCAAGAACAATTAGTAACAAGCGGTTATTATCGATGTATATTTGTTGGCTTGCAAACATCTCATGCTGGGGGCGCGTCGTCCGGTGACAATCTGCATAACAATACTGGTCATAGCCATGTACCCACGGCACATCAAGTTAGACACAACCTGTATAAACTGGCCCTTGAATGAGCGGAAAGATCATACAAAGCGAGATCATGATAAATTGGTTATGTATAGATTGATGTGTAACTGTGTGTACTCTCCAGACGGATGCTAATGCCCTCCATTCATAATTCATGTCCTAATGAAGCGTACGAACAAGCCTCCATAAGATGTCACGACCCTTTGTCTGAAGATCAGTTAATATTATGTCCTCTAATCGGGTTTGTATCACAATTGTGATAGGAACTGAGATATTGAGGTATTATGCAATTACTGTTGGTGCTTTACTGATCTAGTGAGTTCTGCTTGACGTTCTAAGTTCGACAAAGAGGTTAGACTTATATTGCCAGATCTGCTAGCACTGATTTAAAAAACTGATGGTTCTAAAAAGGTTTTAACAAGAAAAAAAGAAGACTGCCTGTTTTGGCGGCCCTTTTTTTTCTCCACCAGCCAAAGATAAAGTTATGGACACATAAAAGTAGACAACATAATCTTACAATATAAAACAGTTTATAACGAAAATCACTAACATGCACGTAGGTG